AAAATTAAAAAACACGCGTACTATTATCATTAGTGGAATTTAAATAACAGGTGTTATGCACGCATGAGCTCCTTGACAAATTACCTGTGTAACCATATAAACACGCGTACTCAAGACATTCACCACAGAAACTACCACGGCAGACATGATTGCCGACTGTTTTTTCCACTTGATCTTTGTGCTAGCTTCACTTTCCAGGCATCTTTTCACTGTAACTGAAGCCCTCATGGACGGAACAACGAGTTCAGAAAAATATATCATAAAGGACTGTAACGGCATTCAGTATCGCTTGATGGTGGACCTAGGTTCGCCGCCATTCCCGGAAACTGCTTGCGATGTTAAGAAGGTTAGCAACAATGTCATGAACACCCTCACGGTTTATCTTAATTTCACTGAATTCTGTTAGTTTAGTTAGCTACTTTATGTTCTGATCAGAGATTTTGAGTTATTTTTATTCTGTTGCAATGACAAGTTTGTACGTACGATAACAAGTTTCTTGTAAGTAATTAATTATTTGGACAAAAAAGGTTGATTTCCAAGAAGGTTAGTCGAAATATTTTCCGCATAAAATGCCCATCTTATTTCTTTTTCATTCTGCCTCGATTGATAACTTCTATCTACAGGGAAGATATTTGTTGTTGAAATAAAAACTGTTCTTGTTTTGCAAATTTTCAGGCCATGAAAAGAATTCTTTTCAATTACAATGAGGTGCTAAACTGAGGTGCTGAACACATGTCGATACATGAAAACGACATGTTGCCCCTTTGAACTTTGAGTATGAGGGCGATTACACAGTCACATGGATATCATGAATCGATACAAATGTCTAGTAAACTGAGCAATCAAATCGATATGGTTGAAGGGTTAGGACACCAAATGGACCATCGCTAAATATCAACATTATGGCCATCTTTTCTAAATTTAATATACAAGTAGAACATTGCAAAGGATGCAAAGAATTCGGAGAGCGAAGCGGGGCGGGGTTATCGCTTCGTTTGCCAAATGTTTTTTCTTTTTTCGCGCTCGCCGGGAGCCTGTTCGAGCAGGCTAAAGATGCTGTTGTTGTTGTAACTCGGGAAATAATTGCATCTCTATCTTGTATTTTTTTTTTTTTAGAAAGTGATACAGTGTTTTGAAAGAAGCAAAGGTTTAGGATCTCTGCTGGATCAAGACCGGTTTCTTCTACTCCAGTCTGCGATAGTAGACAAAGCACTAATGTGTCCCGACCTCGAGTATCACGAACTAGAGAAGACTATCCAGAATTCAGGTGAGATGGTGATTGTCCATAGTACTTCGCATCCAAGGTCGTTTCCAGGGCTTTTCTCACTCTCTAAAGGATCAGCCCTGGGAACGAAGTTGCTTTGCATCGGGAGACCTGCCCTCTAGCATAAGCCGTGGGATAGGAACCAGCGAGATGCTAAGGCAACCTGATTAAATACTGACGGATAAATAAATAAATAATAGCCTCCATTTGGCGCGAATTTGTCCGCGGACATTATCTGTTCTCAGAAGCGAACAGCTTTCTCAGAGCGTACAGTAAGGTGAAGCTTTGAGGAACAGATAATGTCCAAGGACAGATATCCGAGCATACTTTCACTCAGATATTCCCAAGTTTTAGCTGGGGAATATTCAGTCACGTGATGCGTTTAGACCAATCGCGTGCGAGCGAAAATATTTGATGGATTATAAGGTCTAATACTGATCATAAATCTCAATCCTTGATTATGGCTCCAGGCTGTCCTGAGGAAGCCAGATACCCGGATGGTCTACACAATAAGGATTAAGTCCTGTGTGAGTGGAATCTGGGAATCAGATCAGTGGGCAACGCCGCATTATAAACAAGTCTCCGCATGGTTTGAGTCATTCTTGTCCCCAGAGGCCGCGCTCCTTTTAGTCAACACCAAGAATCGCGACCTCTGATCTGGGAAGGTCCAACACTGGAAATCCGCGATTTACGGACTTCCCGTCGCTCTGCGTATGCTCAGAGTCAAGTCTGACAAATCTGATTGGCTGAGAATACGAAACGAATTCTCTGCGCATGCTCAGAAAATTGGACCCTCCCGGAGGTCGCGATTCTTGGTGCTGACCAAAAGGAGCGTGG